TATTCCATGTTTTCTCAACCAAAGTGCCTCAAAAGGACACAGAAAGCGACTCTGTCCAAATTGGTGTATATGAGTGACTTTTGTTGTCATCTATTCTTTAATTTCTTTCTGTTGGTGGATATTGTGTTGCTGTCTGATATTTGTCAACTGGCTTCATGTTGACATAAATGTTCCATCCGGGTGATTTCTTCATTTGACAGGTTTGGCAGTAATCAGTTCTGGGTGTGGCTTGTACAACAAAAAAAAAATAAATAAATAAATCAGAATTCATTCATTATTGAATAAATTGAGTAATATTCCACATAAGGTCAGGTTGGTTTGGATAGCTTTTATCACTTAAATAGTGCCACTAAGTGAAAACTGCTGTTTCTGTTAACCTTGTCTGAAATTAAAAATCTTTCTGACGATCTGAAGCATTTGTGTTTCTATGTTCTTACTCTCAGCTTGTGCCACTATGGACACACGAGGAATCCCCTCCAGGCCATTTGTTATCACGTGTTTGGCGGTGCCGTGCTGCATCACACGGGTCAGATGTGGACCAATGGCCTGAACCAGTGACTCCGCTTCTTCCTCACATCCTTGGCTGCTCTCTTCTTTGCCCAGAAAAGAGATCTCAGAGCCACCGGTAACAATGGTGAATGGCGTGTTGGAGTTCAACATCCGGGGAATGGCCATCTCTCTGTAACAGTCAGAGCGCATTTATGAAGTGAAAAAACTAGAGGAAATTGGAGAAATTGTTTTTTTATTTCTTTCATTAGATCAGACTAGACTAATATTAATATCTCTGCATTCAGATTTCAGATTTTAATCCCTAAATGCTGATGTCTAATCTCTTTTTCCCCCCTCTGGACATGAGGTTTAAAGTGTAAGAATGGCCTCGCTTCAGATGTACAGATAATCCAATATTAGATCAATCTGGCCAAAGAACATAATTCTAGAAGTCTTAAATCTGACCATTGTTTTTTTTGTTGTTCTATTTGCACACATTAAAGAAAAGTCAAACTTGCACCATCCCAGATTGGACAGACATACACTTTCATATTGACAGTTCTGACAGCTTGCTGTGTCCTATGATGACATCTTAGAGTTTTTGGAGATTTCTTTTTAACATCTTGCATCCTGATTTTAGGGCAAACTCTCTTGGATCCCCAGATCTGGGCATGGTGTCAGTTGTTTTCACACCTGTACATTTATTAAGCTTTTTATTCTTTTCTTCCCCCTTCCCTCCCCTTCCCCAATTGTATTTTACTTCAGTGGTTTTAGGTTGTGATATTTTTGAGAAAATTGAACGTTTTTGTAAAATGCTAAGTCCAAAAAAAGCGCCTGGTTACTGGGTCCAGTAGAGTTAAGGTCCTGTTTAATAAGCAAACATTTTTTTTCTGGTTTGACATTAAGGTTATTGAATTCCCACAATATCTCACCCCCTCATCATTTAGTCATAATAGAGACAGATTTGCAATTGGCCGGCGCTTTAATGTTGTGGTATGCGGGGCGTGAATGAACGGACACCAGTCAGATTGGGTATAAATAGCTCCGAAAGGCAGCTACATGCCTTCCACCGGGCCGTCCAGCTGTCAGAGTCTCTCTTCCTGAGCGCTCACCATGTCGACAGCAAACACAGACAGATCAAAACACACACACACACACACACACGCACGCACACACACCTACACACACACACTTCCCTCATAAAAGAGTGCTGATGCGGAGGGCACATGGGTGGCTGCAGTTTGATCAAATCAGAGTGTCAAACAGATGGAAATCAACAGGTGTGTGGCTTGACCTGACAATAAACTCCACAGCTGAGATAATACGGATTAAATAAATTCTCTAGGAAATACAAAGAACCGAAGCAGCTTCAAAAACATTTTGAACTCCGTTTGAAATGATTTTTAACTGATCTAAACAGAGAAATGTACATTACCTCAGAATAAAAGACAGGTTGTTGCAGATTTCAGGTCAAATCCAATGAGCCAAAAAGACTTCTCAGTCTAAGTTTGTCCTGTGTCAAGTATATAAGAGCTTCCTGAGAGTAACCTACCGGCTTTCTGCCCACGCAGGTCCTTCTGATTGGACCTTCATGTGTTTGACTTATGAGTACCCCCCCACCCCCCACACACACACACACACATATACTCACATTCACACACACACACACATATACACACATGCACACACACCCACACTCATATCAACACAGCAGTTTCCAAATGCTCTGGATTAAATCTGCGTATGCCCTCAGTGGCACTCGGAGCGTGCTTGATATGTTGTTTCTGTCAGAGGAGGAGAAATAGCTCAGATCATTCACTTGAAAACAAATCTAAACCTATTCTCACCTGATTTCACACCATTGTCATAAAAAAAAAACAAGCTAAACCCTTGTACCCTTAGTTTACTACTGAAATTGAGATATTCAACCTTATATTTGATTCATATTTCAGAACAAGTTTTAGAAAAACATTAATTCCGTTTTCTTCCATGATGAAGATTGGGAAAACATTATAAGATCTCCTTGTCTCTACGATTCAAAATCACATGCCTAAAAATCTCAGTTTGAAAAAGTCACAATTGGATACAAAACAAAAAGAAATGACAGAAAACGTCTTTCAATATTTCAAATTTTAATTATAGAAAAAAGTAATTTGACTGTTGGCTTTTATTTTAACGTAAAATATGTGTGACCACATTTTTTTGATATACATACATACATATATATATATATATATATATATATATATATATATATATATATATATATATATATATATATATGGGCTATATTTCTATAGCCCATGAGCACAATAGAAATATAAAGTTTAGGATAAATTGCAGTTGTAGCTGCAATTGTAAAAACCAACATGAAAACTAGAAACACACTGTCAAGGCATAAAAATAAGTCGGAACCATTACACTTTATTGTTGACGATCAAACTAGAGTTTTAAGACAAAGTGAAATTTTGCTTTTATTTGGGAATGGATTAATGATTTCCTATGTTACATCCCATAGCTTTCCCCAAAGTGAAAGCACTTCATGCATCCTGCTCAGCAACACACACCTGCTGCCGGGAACAGAGTGGACAGAATTCCAGTTGGAATTAGCAGAATTCCAGTGCAGGGTGGGCTTTTAGGTGGACGTTCCCTCTCCCTGGCAACATCTGAATGGGGTCTGCAGCAGAGGAGCAGCTGTGCAGACAATCTGCTCACACGTCAGCGGGTTTTTCCTCACTTTAGTTCCTTTACTGTTGGGGTGTCAGTTTAGCATAACTTAGTTAAAGAAAGACTCCCTATGTTTCTTTCGAGGTAACAATAAAAATATAAAATCTGAACCGGATCTTTATAATGCTCCTGAAAGGTAAAAGTTAATCTCAAGGCCCTTGCTCTGATCAAAAATGTATTTCCTCAGAAGTGCTCAGCCTTCCGAGGAACACAAATTAGAACCAGCTTTGATGTAGTCAAAAAAATAATAAATAAATCCAATCGTGCCCAAGTTTCAACCATCTGATCCAAACCTCAGAGAAAAGAAAATTCAAATCTCAGACTAGCTATAAATTCGAAACTACTAGAATAGCTCTGTAAATATACACGATGAAACTATTTTTTGTCTAATCTCTCACTAAGAAAAAAAAAAAAAAAGTTACATTATCAGACCAAACAAAGATGGATCTATTTGGCCACAATAATCAGAAATGCATTTATAATAGTCAAAGGGAGATTTTCAAACCCAGAAACACAGAACCAACTGCCAAGCACAGCAGTGGCAGCATCATGTTGTGAGGCTTTTTCTTTGCGTTCTGAATTTTCATCAAATCAACAGCTAGACAATCTAAACATGAACACTTGTTCAAGTAGGACAATAATTACAAACACACAACAAATGTGGTTTTTGAATGCATAAAGACGTCTGTATTAATTTCATCCTGAGATGAAAAATCAACTCGGTGGCTTCACAAGAGCAGGATTTGACTTTATTCAGAGCAGACTGTGTGTGCATTGTTTATCCCTTGAGCCGCCGTGTCAGTCTGTGACCACCAGGGGGCGCGGGATGACAAACAACCCTCGGCAATGCTTCCCTGGTGCTCTGACAGTAAAGTAGGACACAGACCCCGCAGCTGCGTGTCCACTCAGTTGCCTCCAGTTTACTGAGGTTGCCATAGTAACTTTCAAACGGCAAGCAGCTGAGTATCCAGCGGAAGGGAGGACAGCGGAAGAGTGGGCTGGCTGTGCTGTGACGACCTGGAGGATCACGTCACGGAATTTAATTATCACGTCCACCAGAATTAGATGAAGGGGCTTTTTACTTTAGAATATTCCCGAAAGGATTAAATCATGAACTTTGTAGCAAATGAAAGCTATAAATTCATAATAAAACAAAAAGGTTTCTCATGAAATCCAAAACACAAGACTTCCAAACACCATGTTTGATTTTTAAAAAATATACATTATTTCATTCAACACTATTTTTGTCTCATTTTCTTTATATTTTTCTGTATACAAGCCTGAATGAGACTAACAAAAAGCTGAAGACTGAGAATATATCGTTCCCATGCCAACCTTCACAAGATGCGATTCAGTCAGCAGGAATGGGTTAAAACTAAACCAAACTGCTGTCAGAGGTTTGAGAGCATGATTGAAAACATTTGATTGGATTCTTTTGAACTGGAAGAAACCAAAAAAAAAAAAAAAATTCCTTCCTCATTATTCTGACATTTAGCAAATAGTGTCCAAAACCAGGAAATGCTTATCCTCATCTATTGCTTGACAGAGAGAAATAAAGAAAGGTTGTGTCTTTGCAGTGTATGGCAACATGTGGTTAAAACTGTATGTGTAAGATCTCAAGTTTTCTTTCATTATTATTAAAGCAAAGTTCATAAAAATGAAGTGAGCAAAGTAACCCTCAATATTTTAAAATTCATGCTTAATTACATAATCATTTTTTAAAGCTCTACTTAAGAGTTACACATTTATACAGTTTTAAATTACTGATTGCATTTAAAACCAGAAAGGAGATATTTTTTATTAATAGACTCCACAACATCTCAAAAACCCACACACTATTAAATAAGGCACACCTTATTGTTTTATTTTCCTTTTACCAAGTTTAGAAAGAAAAAAAAAAAAGAAAAATTAAAACATCTACAGGCTGCATGAAACACAGAACCAATACATTAATTCAAATCTCTAGTATCACCCAAAAATCCCTTCACAGCTGAACATTTAGAAATTTAAAGGAAACTTATTAAAGTCTGTGCTTATTCATTCATTCGTGCAAAATCAGAAATTACAAATGGAACCATCTGATATATTTGCCACAGTCTTCAACTCATTTAAAGCAACTTTTTGGAGCCATTAACCAATCCGATGAAACATTTAAACCCACCAAAAAACAAAAAACAAACAAACAAAAAAAAAAAAACACCTAATATCAGCAGTGTTCAAACTAGACAGTCGGCAGAGCCAACAGGATGGACAGAGTCTGAACAGAAGCTGACGGCAGCTGTACAGTGAAACCTTCAGGACTACAGTTGGTGATCTAACCAGACTTGGTTTTGTGAACATCTGTTCCTCTTAGTGGATAAACAGAACTCCTTTGTCAGAAAAGATGCACAAGGCAAATTTTCTTAAACTAAGCTGACGCTTTAGACTTTTTGTAACTCAGATCCAAAGACAGAAATTTCTTTTCAGAAAAATAAGTCAGACATTTTACTTGATGTTTCTAGGCTGCCTTCTCTTTATTTGGAATACATGTCATTTTCACTCTAGCCTCTTGAATGCATGTGCAAATTTAAATGTTTGCTTTATTGGTTTACTTTTGTGAAATGTATGAAATATTTGTGTTTAATATCAATTGAACGTGAATTTCCTGCATTCCCACCTGTTGTAGATAAAAGTTTCTTCTACATCTGGAGTGATTTACAGAAATGGTGCAGAAGACGAACTAGATCCCCATTCAGTGTTGAAATGATAAGGATAAGTTTAAATGGAGAGACATAAAAAATGAAATGAACAGCCAACTCCACAAAAGCAAAACCTATTCCCAATCACTACACTTCAACAACAGCAACACAAAAGACTACAAAAAGAAAACAAAAATGCAATTAAGAGAAACCAAAAAGGACGCCGAGATAACTCCCACTTTGTCCACAGTAACTCAAGCAACGGATTTATGGAAAGCATTCGGGGCTGCAGATCATCTGCAACTCTGCCAGATTAAAGTCCACGACGGACCAAGTCTTTATGTCTGACCCCCAGCAACGAATCCCAGGTCAGCTGAGTTTGTGGAGTGCAACTTCTGGCCTTCAGGTCACATGAGTACCCAACGGGACAGCAGTGCTTCATGTCTGCGCAGCATTCACCCTGGAAGAAAAAAATAAACTTCATTACAAGCTGCATTTATCAGTTAATCAAATTAGAGAGGGCTGATTTTCATTCATGGTCGAGTGGCAGAGCATGATATTTGCTCATATTGGTGGCGAGTCTAAAATGCCAGTAAGATGTAAACATTAGAAGTGAACATTTCAAAATGAACATGCATAGCTGACCGCTCACAGGAGAGATTGTGAGGACATTCAGAGGGAGTTTCTGGTATGCCAAGAAATTGCCAGGAAGCTCGTGGAGTTAATATTTGTTTTGACAAAACATGTCAGAAAACATATCCAACAATTAGTTTTGGTTCAACAACAGTTTGTTACGATGTATGACAGGGCTTCCTGCACGGTCCACTTCATTTTACCGTATGTGTGTACAGACTTGGTAAAGTTATCAACCAGAACAGGATAAATGACATTAAATTCTGGATTAATTAGGATTGATGAATAAATATTAGGCACTTAGTTGGGGATATCTCTAGTGACCTTCTGTTTTTAAAGACTAAACCTTGAAACAGAGATTTTAAAAACGCAGATTAAGTGGACAAACCTACAGACATATGAACAGCCTGACGGATGGCTGGATCTTTCTCTTTTCATACAAACTGTGTCAAGACACTGAGACACCATGAACATACCTTGGCAAAGGGACAGCAGCTCCACTCTGTAGCTGAAATCTTACAGCAGGTGGAGTTTGCGGGGCAGAGAAACACTCCTGTGCTATCACATTGTACGTTTGTTTCCTCCACTGCCTCTCTCAGAGCAGACTGTTCTTTACTCAGGAGGGCGGTGGTGAGCTGCAGATTGTAGCCTTTCTTCTCACACGTTTTAGTCTGCATGTTGCATGTGTAGCCCTGAGGACAGCAGTGCTCGTGGTCAGGGCAGCAAACCGCCTTGAAAAGAAGGAGGAACATGCCACGGGTTAGACCTCAACACAGCTAAACAAGGTCTTCATCTTTATCAGGGCTGGCGCCAAGTCAGAAGCGCTCGGACCTTCAGCAACGGGCAGCAGCCCCACTCGCCGCTCGGAAGTTTGCAGCAGGTCGTTCCCGTGGCGCAGCTGCTCGTGTTGTCGCATTTAACGTCGGTCAACGCGCTCGGCTCGGCCAGAGCGCCCAGTTTGGTGGACCAGGGGATCCGACGAGGGCCGCTGGAGCACGAGGACCGGTGGGGGTCGCAGGTGTGTCCACTGGGGCAGCAGTGGATTCCATCTTTACAACACACTGCCTGGAGAACGACAGCTTTCATTCGGCGTCCTGATCACGCGCTCTGTATGAAACAAGCGGACTCCTACCTCCGGCAGAGGGCAGCAGCCCCATTTGTGGGTCCTCTCCATGAAGCAGCAGGTCGTGTCTTTCGGGCAGCTGGTCTGACGGTCACACATGATTTTCTCCTGCTGAACTCGACTGGTCAGAGCGGGAACTTTGGTCAGCAGGGGAAGCGGCAGAAAGACACCGGAGGAGTCGTCGCAAGTTTCAGCCTCCAAGTTGCAAACGGTGCCGTGAGGACAGCAGTGGACGTGGTCATCACAACAGACAGCCTGCAGGATATGTAAATTACAGTTTTTACATTTTGAACACCGAGCTGATTAAAAGCAAGGTGGTAAAGGATTTGAACGGTGTTGTAAATCAATTGTTAGATGATGAGTCTGCAGTCCAGCTTACCTTGGGTAGAGGACAGCAGGCCCATGCCCCACTCACTGTCTTGCAGCAGGTAGCATTTCCGGGACAGGACGTGGATTCGTCGCACTTGTCGTTTTCTGTCAGCAGAGGAAAGACGGGCGTATTGGAGAGCAGCGGCATCAGCGCTACGCCTGAGGGATGATCGCACGTAGAGGCCGCCAGGTTACAGACGGTGCCACTGGGACAGCAGTGCAGGTGGTCCTTGCAGCACACAGCCTGCCAAGAGGAGAGACAACGAGGCCATTACAGAAGAAAAAGGGAGCAAAGTGTGTGGCAATTTCATCAGGAAAGCTGGTTTAGAGAGTAACTGAGCAGCTGGAATGGAGGAACCACCTGACGAGCCGTCAGCCTGACCGTACCTGAGGTAAAGGACAACAGGCCCACTTTCCTGTTGGCGATTTGCAGCAGGTGTTTCCATCAGCGCAGGCCACAGAGGCATTACAGGGAACAGCATGGACTGAGAGACAAAACAGAAACTTTACATTAAAGCAAGTACGTAAACTTTATTCCAGCAGTTTAAACTCCTAAAACACAGACGGATTTAAAACGTTTTAGAATAAATCGGTTTGTTTTTCTATTTTACACCTTTTTCTCAAACACTCAAATGTATGCAGACCCCTAAAGAACGAAGGTTTATGAGTCACAAAAGTAGAGATTCAGTAATGTGCCAGCTTCACAGCTCCACACATTTTGTTTTTATTTTGAGAAAAACATGAGGTTTGGCAGCTTTTTTCCCCACATTTGTCACATTTTTTTCCACATTTGGCAGCTGTTTTCCACATTTGTCCACATAAAATCATCCCCTCCAAGAGGTGAGGGGTAGTTTATGAGGTGGGTGTAAGGATTGTCTTTGTGGTCCATCCGGGAATAGAGATATGATCAGACTTTGGGTGGGTCTTTTCCTTGCTGTGACTATATAACGATGTGATGCGTGTCGTTCATGGCTCGTCTCCTGACTGCGTTCAGTGAGACGGGTCTTCAAACGCTTTTGCCTTCGAATAAACCAACTTAAAGACAAAGATGAATCTTTCTCTTATTATTGAAAGCTTCTCATTCTTTGATAAATGAAATTTCCATAACAAGGCGCACTGTCCTGCATGTTGTATGTTTTGCCGCTTCAGGAAACTTGATTCGAACTTTTTCTAATCAGCTAAAGCCAGATAATTAGCCATCGATTGAAGTTAATGAGTGAAAATTAATCATGTTTAAGTAGATAAACGTTATTATCAAAGTTGTAATCAACAAGCAAGTTTGGGAACTCCACAGGCCTACTTTGGCGAGTTATCCATCCCGTGAGCTTATCTGCCCATTGATTAATATGCATTAATATAGCAAACCTGACATTCAGTTTCAGTCTCCTGTCACTATAACCTCTTTACTGACCTTTGCTCTGCACTGGGCCCTGGTTCGTCATGGTCGGGAGCTTCTTAATGGGCAGGGGAGCGTCGTCTTGGAAGGACACACAGGTGCTGTGTTTCAGGTCGCATTTTGTCCCTGAAGGGCAGCAGTGGATGTGGTCGGAACAACAGACAGCCTGCGAGACAACAGGAAGCAGTCTTAGCACTCATCTCTTCAGCTACAAAATTAATTTAATACAAAACAGAACACAAAAAATTCTATTCTTTGATTCTGGTATTTCTTCTGTTTCCTAGGGGTTCAATAAAACATCTTGTGATGGATGAATAAATGATGCATGTAGCAGACGTGTGCCATTTATATTTAAAAGAGCAGTAGCACAGATAACTTAGACATACTTGTTTGAAATCTGGTAGTTTTAACCCACGGTTACACAAATTATATCAAACTATATTTAAGATCAATGTTGAGGGCTAATCCTCAATATCTTAAAGTCCAGGCTGATTCCTGGCAATTAGTTTTATTCTACTTCCTTTAGTTTTGCTTCACCATCAGTGTAACGATGAAGTGCTTTTTCTGATTTAAAAATTTGATGTATAAATAAATGTAACATAACATAAACCCCATTTGCCGGTAACATTAAACTGTACTCAGTGTAGTTATTGTCATTTCTTGTTTCCTCGGTACCACCTATTTAAAAGGTGTTTTACTGAAACATAAAACAAAATCAGGTTCCTTCATGTTCGAGTGTGACGCTTACGTCAGGCATAGGACAGCAGCCGAACGATCCGTTGGTCATCTGGCAACACGTCGTCCCATCAGGACAGACCGTTTTCTTATCTGGACACTCGACTTAAAAAAAAAAAAAAAAAAAAAAAAAAAAAAAAAAAAAAAAAAAGGTCACAGATCAAAATCTTCACTAAGAATTTTCTCTCCTTTAAAGCTCTAAGTTTATTAGTGCTGCAAAAATAAATCTGAATCAGTGTTTGTTTTTATTTCACAGTAAAGATGGCTTACCGTCGCGGGATGCAGCAGGAATCCTCCTCGTCAGCGGCACTTCGATCCCTCCAGACTTACAGACTCCATGTGTTAGGTCACATGTTGTGTTGCTTGGACAACAATGAAGATGATCATTGCAACACGTGGCCTTCATATGATGAAAACGTATAAAAAAAACAAAAAAAGAATGTTAAAGACAAGGCTGAATTAGAACAAAAGAACACAGTGTGCAGAGACCAAATGACTCGGCCTGCAGCGGTGAATGCTTCAGAAGGTTTCTAATCATCTACAAACAATTGCACAACAACTTGCACTTGTTAAACAAAATATCACTTTTTATGAAGAGATTATATCCAAGTCACTGTTACAGTCTGCATACGTTCTCTGTTCAAACACAGGTATAAGCCAAGGCTGGTTGTAGCTCAATTTGATTATGAACATAATTATAGAGGCTCAGTATGCCGGTTATTTTGCTGCAGCTCTGTGACCTGCTGTGAAAGTAAAGCAATACATCTAATTAATGCACTTTTCAGGCTCATCAGTCCAGATTCTCTCAATGGTGGCCTTAAAATCTTGTTTCAAATAACAGCCCGTTTGACAGAGCATTTAAACCAAGAAAATGGACGCATTTTCATCAGAAAAATATACACTGCAGGTGAGGCATTAAGAATGACACCAGGAAGTAGTGAATAAAAGTCATAGGGGAGAAAAGACACAAGAGGACATCGGAGGAATTTAAGACACCAGAAAATAAAGAATGAGGAAACGGAAAAGAGGACACATGCAAAGGAAAAAAAAGAAGAAAAAGTTTAAGCATTTAGACGGGACACAAATGAGGAAGGACAGAAGAAAGTCAACAAGGTAAGACCAAAAGAGCAGCATAAAAAGGAGAGAAAGACATCCTTAGATGGAAGGAATGAACTAAAGACAAAGTAAAGCAGCAAGGCTACAAAGATAAAGAAAGGAAAGAAGGACAACAGAAAGGAGTAAGTGGAGGACACAAAAAAAAATACAAGGAAAGAAAGATTAGAAAACTGTCATTTTTAGATAAATTTGTAGCACGTAGATTATTGTTTAACCAGGTGGTAACATGGTTCCTTCAACTTGTACTCATAAAGTTACAGTTTACGGTGGCCTGGAAGGGTTTTGATAGGAAACCTCAATCGTATCAATTTTTGTCAAATTCTCAATAAGTATATTTTTCTAAATGTTTAAAATCTCTGTCCTTAAAAGGGGTTGCATAGCACAGGAGGTACCGAATGGTTTGGAGGAGCCGCTGTCTGAACACATCAAAAGGCGAGCTATGTGCGTTTCGTGACTGATATTCCACTTAGACGTGGTCAGACTGTGGTCTGTTGTTGTGGTAAGTTCTGCAACAGCCTGCTAGTGAATATCAGGAAATGTCCAGCTTTTATTCGTTTTTAAAGCAGTCAAAGGGATTGCTTGTATCCACCCAAATTTATCAGTACTTTGAGTCAGTGAAACTGACTCAAAGTAGCATCATGTATATGGTGTGTGTGCGTGCATATATGATTTTATGGGAGGCTGGGTTACAACATAAAATTGTGATTTATTTTATATGAAATGTTGGTTCAAAATGTTTCCCTCCTCCCCCTATTTTCCTGTCTTGTTTGTTTTTAACCTTAATGACTGTCGGTAATTCAGTCCGTACCATCTGTCAGGGGGACAAACACTGGAGATCTAATTGTGTAAATTTGCATTTGTGTTGTTCAAAATATTTATGAATACACAATGTTCCTCTTAAGCAAATAAATAAAAATGCAGTAAAGAATGGAAGAAAAAAAAAAATCCCACAATGAACCAGATTTTGAAAAAACTGCAGTCAAACTCAATAATTTCCCACAATGAGTAGCAAACCTTGTTTGACATTTTTTATTGTTAAAATTAAAAAACAAACACACTAGGAGTTGAGTGAAGTGAAATACAAAATGAACATCTGCTGAATGCAGAACTTCTACTTAATTTGCAGAATACTGTTGCTTCTTGTCATTTTGGTCCCTACACTTGGGGTCCAACAAGCCAATATTAACTGGTTAATTAACTAGCCTGCATGTGACTGTACTAGATGTACTCGCAGTAAGATTAACAGCCCTTTTTAACAAGTCCACACCATGATAGCTGTCTTTGTTAGACTGCCTAATTAATAATAAGAAGCCATACTAAAAACTTTACCAGGTTCCGATTAATATATATTTGAACCTGTATATTTCTGACTGGACTGAAAAAAAAAAAAAGAGTTAAAGCCCAAAATTAACATTTTTGCAGATGATTAATAAATAGAAGCTTCTGACGCCATGATTTAAATCATGAGTTTCATTACTGGCAAATAGTTTTAAAGCATACCTCTTTGTAAGGGCAGCAGCCGTATTGTCCGCTGGCCTGGACGCAGCATGTATAACCATCTGGGCAGCTGCTTTCCCCATCAGGACAAATCACTGAACCAGCCACAGAAACTATAAAGGGATAAAGATCAGAGAATCAAACATGTTTTATCCCACCGCCCCCAATTAAAACTTCCTGGGTATTATTACTAATATGAATTTGCTGCTCTGGTTTAAAGCCATGACTGAAGCCGTTTGTTTACAAGAGAAATTCCCAACCTGGCCTATCCTTCGATCTTTTCGCTGGTAGTTTTTCCAGCATCGGGAACGACTCAAGTGATGGAGAAACACACTTTAAGTGGACGAGATCGCATTTTGATCCTCCAGGGCAACAGTGGCGTTTATCCTCACAACAAACCGCCTGCAAAGATAAGAAAAAGCGTCCTGAGAATGACGAAGACTGTGGTTCAGTTGAGGTTTAGTCCTGAATAATCAAAAACAACAAATATGCAAAAAAAAAAAATACACATTTGAATATACATTTCTGCTTGAAAACTTTGTAGATTAATGCCTTATAATAACTATGCGACACTGTGTTTGCAATACATTACCGATCCTAGTGGAAGTTCAAGCATCAAAATAATGAGCCTCACTGACAAAAGTCAGGTCAAACCAGATCACCTTCCTTGTAATGTTTCAGGTTTAGGAGTGGAATATAATAGCAACATGCCTCTTACAGACATGCACTGTCTCTACCTTAGGTAACGGACAGCAACCCCAAGAAGAATCATAAAGCTGGCAGCAGGTGGTGTCATCAGGACACTCCGACTCATGGTCCGGACACATGACTGCCTTCACTCCGCTGACGAGCTGGAACCATCAATATCACGTCAACCTCAGAAATATGATAACCGACATCACTTTTTACACAGTAAGAGCAACATTGAGCAGAATAATGTAGCTCAGTGTTCTGTTGCTTAAACACCAATATTGGGCTAATAAAGATGCAATAGCGCAGGGGTGGCCAAGTCCAGTCCTCGAGAGCCACCATCCTGCAAGTTTCAGATGCATCCCTGCTTCAACACACCTGAATCAAATGACTGGCTCGTTATCAGGCCTCTGTAGAGCTGATCCCGGTCTGTTGGAGTAAGGATACTTCTAAAACTTGCAGGATGGTGGCTCTTGAGGACTGGACTTGGCCACCCCTGCAATAGCGGAATAGACTAACCAAACAAAATAGGCCTGATAAATTTTGCTGGACGATAAATTGTCACAGAAATTATTGCAAGAAACAATAATGTTCTGAGACCATTTTTATGCAATATAATCAAGGTTTCGCCCAGGAAACTTGCTAAGTCCAGTGGTTGGGCGCTCGAGCAGTCATTCATCTTTTTGAGTTAAAGATGTTTAAAGTTGATGGGAAATTTGAAAATATCACTTGATAATTATGTGTTGTTGAAAGATTGGAAGATTAATATCTGAACAAATATTTAAGGAAAAAACAAAAACAAAACAAACTTCAATACTTGTCACTTAAAGTGACAAGTATTTAGTGGCCCGCCAGGCTCATCATACACCGAGGGAAACCGTGTATAATGATAATGGCATATTAATGAAAGTTTGCCTTCTCAACATCCAAACTTTAATTTTTATAAATACTTAAACACTGGAAGATGTTTTAAATATCCAAATGAGATAAACAAAAACAATAAATGAAATGGAAATTAAAACCACACACCACCGAAACCACAAAGGAAACCGAGTATGTCTCTGTAAACAAAGCTGTCATTCAAAAAATACTGAACAGAATGGAAATTATTGAGCTAATTTAAACTTATGATGGGATTAATTTACTTATAGCTTATTGCAACAGGCAATTAGGTTGCCAAAAGAATTAAGTTCTCCACCTAAGGTCTCAAGGATGAGGTCAAAAACAACTGGTGACATCTTTTAACAATTATTTAAAAAAAACAAAACAAACAAACAAAAGAAAAACAATATAGAAGGTCAGATAGGACATAGAGTGTGAGAAGTACAACTTTATGTTACCTGAGAGGCAGATGATCTCTGCTTACTGGGAAGTCGCTTCACCATCGGAAGTGAAACTGTTTTATTAATACATTTCTGATGGACCAGATCGCACACTGTCCCCTGGTAGCAGCAGTGGAGGTGGTCTGAACAACACTCCGCCTGGGTGTGGAATCAAGACAGAAGAAAAAACAGTTGACATTACAGCAGAGGATATACTTTGTGCATCAAAAGAAAGAGTTTGTTACAGAAATAAAACTAGAAAAAGGCAAACAGAACTTTCTTAATATAGACAAAAGATGCAGCTTATGCTTTGGCTTGAAGAAACTGACAAATGAGTAGCTCACATGTGGCAGCGGACAACAGCTATAGCCTCCCTGAGTGTTCTTGCAGCAGGTGTCTTCATCTCCACACATGCTCCCATTAGGGCAGATCAGTGCTGCACTCAGGCCCAGAAAAGCTAGAAACAAGACTCCCATTTGAAGAGCCTGAACACAATGAGAGGAAATCATGGCGCTGAGCAACGCAATGTGTGATAAAGCATGCCCTTATACAAGACCGGCACCCTCATCGTCTCGGTGTAAAAGAACCAACTACGTGCAGCAGCTTTGCAAACATTCCACTTGATAACGTGGATTGCAAAACTGAAGAAACTCAGACTTCCCGCAAAGCTACGCCCCGCACAAAATATCTAGAATTTGATAAGATGTTAAGAGATCACATTAAAGTCACATTTTTCGTTTTTATTTCACAAGTTAACTGGTAAAGTGATTCATTTGCTGTTCTCATCTAAAGGGATGCAGCTGTTAGACTCTATAATATACTACAAAGTTTCCAGTTTTGTTTCTCACACATTTCCAAGTGAAAAAGGTCATTGCTTAGTGAATTATCTGACTGGTCTTAGAATAAATATCCATCTACATCGTTTACTTCAGGTGTAAAAGGTTTTACATTTTGATTGCAGAGATGTAATTCTGTATGCATCTTTAAAACTTATTGCAAAATCTAAAAAGTATAAACACTTTACATTCACTATACGTTTTTTGATTTTAGTTTTCTTATTTTTGTGGAAACTGGTAGTTATTTTTTTGTTGTAAGTTTTTTTTTATTTTCTAAACGTGTCTTTCACTTTGCAGATACGGGGATGTCCCCCACTGAGGGACAAACAAGGGACTATCCAGATCTATCTGCATTTGCTTGTAGCTGCTTAAAGAAATGGTTTCAAACAAAATTACTAGCCCAATGTCACAATTTACAGTCAACTGAGAAATAAAGACAGGCTGCAGGTTCTGTTTCTACTTTACCATTGTGAATAGATGGCTTTAGAGAGGCAAAAACAGTTCTGCTGTTATTAACAGAGCTCTGGATGCTGCTGCATACTCCTCTCAAAACCTGAGAAAAAAACCCATAAGCAAACAAAGACAATAAATTAAATGACGGTTAAAATTCCCCGTTCATGAGCTAGACTTGTTTTTAAAAGCTGTACACATACTCTCTCGAAATACTGAACCGGAAAAGAGTGACTTAGCTACTGCAATACAAATTAATCTATTTAGCTCAGCGGGCTACGTGGTTAGCATGAACGCTAGCTGCCATGAATTACTTTCTTTGTTTCTCTGCGATAGAAAACAAACAAACATGGCAACTGTACCTCGCAGTTTTGTGAAGGCAGATGTAATAGGTAGAATGAGAAATGTCCTCTTTTCACCGCATCGCCACAAACACAAGACAAAAACAACCTGCTACAAATTTTGAAGGCATTTATCACATGATAAGCTCACACGTGACCTTCCATGTTGATCAGTTTTAAAGGAATAGTACCTTATTTTTACTTTACGCCTCAGATGACGGCATTTCATTAAAGTCTTTTCATTAGAGATAGGAACGTGTTTTAATTGTAAGGTTAAAACACTTACTTTTTTTTTTTTTTGCTCCATGAAAACACAGGATGTCTCAAGTTAAGCTATTTTGTTAAAGTGCATTACAACCTGCGATTTTGTTGTTTGGGACGGTTCTTCCTCATAGAGGACCTTTTTGGTACAGTACCTGATTTACCCGTTTCAACCAACATCTCCACAAAGTTTAATGCTTTTATTGTAGGATTCAAATTCACATTTGGACCCAAATTTGTACATTGCTGAGACATAAATCTTGTATCCTTATTGAATGGTACAGTGATTGAACTTTCCTAATGGATGTCATTGTCATTGTCTCAACAGATGCATGCCACATTGACATTTCTGGAACTCTATCAAAGAATAAGTCAAGATTTTTGATGGTCAATGATACTCTTCCTGACATCTTTGCTGATTTTGTGTGTGTTTCTATTCCTTAGACATAATCTGAAAACTAACCCATGACCCTGTTGTCACAAGTTTTTGAAAGTAACATTCCAAACACATAAGTAATGTGGGAACAAATTTATTTGTTGTCTAATATACAGAAAGGATCAATTTTACAGTTTACAAACAACTGACCAGGTGTGTATGATGCATATGATTTAGTGCACAGGATGATGGCCTACAGTTCTGACCTCCTCACCCTCATATGCACAAAATCCAACAAAGTGAACTGCACTTGAAAGGGTCTTCACAGGGGATTCAGTTGTGTGAATCATTTGCAATGTTTGTGGGATGCAAGTTATCTACACTAACTTAAAAAACAACAACTTGTGTGTAAAAGAAACTTAGGCAAAGAAAGCCACAACTTCACATACTTTTTATACTTAAAAAAAAACTTTACATTTACCAAGTGAACAACATAAGTCAGCTAGATTTATTTTGTGGTTATTCCCTAGAATTACATCGTATTTTCAGTTTGTACTGTAGGCATGTGACACAAGCATATTGAACAGCAGGCGGATGGCGAAAACCCTCCAGCATGACTTTTCCAACAATATTTATGCATTCAGTCAATAACTCTGCAACAAACAACAAAAAAAAAACTTCTTTAAGTTCACAGTTGCTGATGAATTGTAGGCAGTGATGCTATAGTAACAGCGGGAACATGTTGGTCAGTATGTTGTTCTTGTAAACATTTATGACCGGAAGTAAATTTTGTGACAGCAAGATTAAAGAGATTAGGTGTTTTTAAAGTGGAGTTGTGTGGAGAAAACGGATGCAGTCAGTAGCTTACCTGTAGTAGAAAGCACTCAAATCGGTCTTAGTGGGGAAAATCAGGGGGAAAAAAAGACAAAAAAATAGTCAAGTTAACAGTTGCCCTGTACTACTTGGTAGGGAAGCTGTAGCCTTTGAGTAGCTGCTAGCTTGATGTTTAGTTTGAGCAAATGTAAGCTGTATTGATTTTAGCTTGACTTGGATGTAAAATTGACCCAGTATCTGTTTTTTTGGGTAAAATTAACTTTTTTTTCTTAACACTGGGTAGCTTAATCTCAAATAGATGAATTGATTGTGATTAACTTCACACTGATCTCTTAATATCATTAACTTGGCTCTAATTAAAACTAAGCTGTTGGCTTAATTGTGATCATTTACTAGCTCTACTCTGATTGTATCTATCAGATAGAAGGGTCTAATCTGACCCTTCTTTCTGAATTTCTGATTTTTCAAACCGAATTTGCTCTGGCTGCTGTCCACAGCAAAATAGTACAGCTTCAAATTTTCCCACACAATCCCACCAAAAAAAGCAAATAACTATCTCTTTAGGGAGAAAAGTCAGTGTGTCTTCATTTATTTGGCAACAGATTTCACTGCAACTATGATGTTTTTGTGCCAAATATCCTCATTAACATCTTTGAAAAGGTTTCAATAAAAACACCCTATACTACATGTTACATGCACGTTTTATACACATAAAATCTCATAGAATTCATCAGAACATTTACAAGTTTGGTGAAAAACAGGATAATTACAAGATGTCAGATATCCAAGGATAGAATAGCCACAAGAAAAGCTGTCAGATTTGGCAGGCATGCTCCTCAGTGTCACATGTTGTTACCTCAATGCAATGTGCTTATCACTGTCTATCGATTTCGACAGAGTGGTTTAGGTGACAGCTAACTGCATTTTATAAACCATGCCCATCACTCGATTCTGTGTGAAAGAAGGCACTTACAGGAGAGAAGTGGTACAGGCCTTGTATGCAATCCACTGTGTGTACCTCAGTAGTGAATCTTCAAGTAAATTGGCGGTTTTGCTGAGTTGCAGACATATTGTGGCAATTAGGGACTGGCTGCACAGGAGCCTAAAAAAACAGTAGAGCTGGGGCTTTTGGTGCCTTCCGTTAACTTCATACATTCATATGCATGCAATCTTTCTATAACAAATTGTCACTCAAATGTCTGAGGGTCTACTTACACAAAAAGGTTCTGCTGGCCAAAAAAAAAAAAATCTCAACAGGAGAAAGGCAGACATTTTGGCAAATTGTACAGTACATCACTGTGATAAGTCAGTGACACAAAGGGTGACTTTAAGATTATGCTTAAAATTTCAAACCAGTACGATTTAAACAAGAGACCACAATACATTAACACAGTAAAGGAGGAAGAAGAAATTATTTCTTCTTAAAAAAGATGTAAATAAAACATTTGTTCATAGGTGCTTCAGAGAAATGTGACACATTTCAGACTTCTCCAGTCTTTGAGATGTTCTGTCCTTCATACAATCCTTTTCTAATCACAATTTAGAAAAAAGAGTGAGATTTTGAGTGAATTTAGAATCAATGTAAGGGATTTAATTTGAGCTACATATAAATAAATCCCGTAAAACAAGTAATCCGTTATATTTGGTAAGTATCAATCAGTCATCAAAGTTTAAGTGCTCTATTCTTGTATTTCACTCTACAAAATGGCTATATCCACAGTCGACATTAGGGATGGCTCAGATGATGGTTCAGTGAAGTCAGGATACGCAATAAACTGGACAGAATCAGCAGAAATCAGAGGGGTCAACTGAGACAATCATCAGAAATGTCAAACAACAACCAGAAAGTGGACCAGTGAAGCAGTGGTTGTGCTTATTGGGATCTTCCTGCAGGGAAAATTCAGTCCACCTCAATGTTCCTTAAAGATCCAGTGTTCACCAAGTTTGAAAATCTCACTTCCTAGGGTGGAACACCATGAGAGGTCTGTCTTCAATCTTCTGCCAGGGGCTCTTCTTGTTCTCATCTTTGTCGTCTGGATCATCCTCGGGGCTCGTCATAGAGTCGCGGCGATTCTCACTGTTGCTGCTGCGACTGCTGTTTCCTCGGCTGCGACCTCTTCTGGGGATGGTGGATCCACGTGAGGACGACCCTTCATCGAGAAGAGGAGTGAGGGAATTCTCTTCTGGTGACACCGGGCGTCCCTCGCTGCTGCTGGGCTCGCTGTGGTCAGGGTAGGCAAGTTTGGAGTAATTCTTCCCACCTCCGCCGCCGCCGTGGCCCTTCCGTCCTCCTGTCCCCCAACGCTCATCCTTTCCCTTACGATTGCCCGATGATTTTCTCTCTTGAGATTCAAGAGGAGGCTCAAGGTTCACATCTCGCTGAGCGCTACTGGAGCCACCTCCAAACCCGCCGCTGCTGAGGTCATTGCTGACATCGATGTAGGAGTGGCGGACGTGAGCATTCGCGCGACCATCCAGGGAGATGAACCATGCTCGTGGGTGCTGTTTGACGCCCAGCTCCAGAAGCTTCTTCTCCGTCAGAGCCTGCAGTTCCCCATTCATCTGAGCCATCGTGGAGTCGTTGAAGAGCACAGGAATGGTCACTGCTCCGCCGGAGGAGTCAGAGGCCCAGCTCGGCTCCTCAGAGTCGTCACCCTGAGAGCCACCTTGTTGCTGCTGGCCTTGTTTTTGGGAGTGGTGGTGGTGATGCTGCTGGCCTCCTCCCATCTGTGTCCCATCTTTGTCCTGATCCTTCCCATCCTTCCCATCCTTACCAGAGAACTCAGAAGGCAGGCGCATGTAGTGTGCTGGGATAACCAGGGTTGGCACCATGCTCCTGTACATGTTCTCCTTCATCTGGTCGATGGAGCTGCAGAAGATAATCTGACCTGGTTGGGTGTTAAGGGAGGTTGGTCTGGCAAGGCTATCTGCTGCTGCTGCTGAATAATCTGGAGGTTTGTCAGACTGACTTGGTACGTATCCCTGGAAGCGAGGTGGAGAAGGGGGGTCGGACGAGTATCCTCGATTGTCATTGGCATTGTGATGTCTGTGGTATTCAGACTCTTTGCTCTCCTTGGGGCTGTAGCTTCGGTTGTAGTCTTCATGTAGTAAAGGGTTGTCCAGGTTGTTGGTCTCAGTGGCACGTGTAACCTTCATGGGGAAGCTCTCTCCCCGCTGGGAACCCGAGGTGCTTTTCCCTTTGGCATGTCGCAGCATGTGAGCTGGAACATGCTTAGTCAGGTCTTCTCTTGAACTCTGGTAGTCTCGAGATGGAGACATATCAGATTTGTCATTGGAGGGGCCTGATTCCACGTGGCCTCCACAGATAAGATTCAGACGTGAAGTTGATGTTCCCTGGTCTCTCTTAGCTCCATTCAGATTGGATGAGTGGGGTTTGCCTTGATGTCGGCGAGGTTTTAGGCATTTTCGTCTGGAAATTTAAATGTCAGAAATCAGAACTCAAAAAACTTCTTATGTACAGCAATATCCATGTTAAACTATCTATTTTGCATTTGCAAATTTTTCTGCAAATATGAACCTAAAGGTAAAACCTGTGCCTACGCTCGCCACACCTGCAGTAGTAGAGCAGCACACAGAGCAGGATGAGCACCAGCAGAGCCAGTGAACCCAGGATGGACAACAGGAAGAGGGTGTGGTAGGTGGTGATGTCCCTCAAACCTGGATGAGAA